TCAATTCAATTTGAAAAAATCAAATCAAATTCAAATTGCTTAAATATTTGATTCGATTTGATTTTGAGGAACCCTAATGGCTACAGTCACTATCATCATCCGTTAGCTTTGCTAATACCTTTGATACTTCTTCATTCGCCTTTTTCACTTCCTCATCTTTAGAATAAAAATACATATTATCATCATTATCTGTCTTAGCAATTATTTTAGACTTTTTAGAACCCTTCTTAATCGAATCATTCGTTTCTTCTTCCTTAAAATAATCTGTAATATCAGATGTATTACTAAAATTATCATCTGAGTCATAAACTGAAGTAGTAGCCACCATCTTGGAGATTTCATTCACAGGATTAGTGTTGTTTTCAATTTGACCTGTTCTATGATGTATTCTATTTGAGGATTAGTGAACCTTAAAATTTTGTTAGCGTTACAAGTGACCCGTTAAACCATGTATCCTGGTATACCTTTAATTTTTTTCAGAGTTATAGGGTCATATTTATACCCAAATAACCTATTGATTTTTTTCGCTTTACAGACCATTACTTGTAAATATCCAATTGAAACATCTGCAAGATACGGCTTCATTTTATTATAGATCTGCTTTCTTGCAGTCTGATCCGTAAGTTTCTTATCATTAGACCTAAGCTTCACAACTTATCTTCAAACCTTTCAGAGAATAAATACCATAATGTAATCTCTGATTGCTTTGCTTATTTCTTGCAACATTCGCCTGGCAGAATGAATTAGCAAGTTTTTGATGTTTATTGATCCAGAAACTATGGTTTTGGGAGAAGAAAACTTTATAGTCTGGAGTGGATTGTCAGATGAGAGTAGCTCTTTCAACAAATCTTATACAAATTCAGTTACTATACTTGAGAAGCCTGAACATTTTCACTATTCTTGGTCGGTAAGATGTGATCCCTTTGAAACATCCTTAGTAAGCTATCAGAAGAATTTTCTTTTCTCAATCTTTCTATTTCTACATTTCTATCTATCTCTGGACAGATGTTGAAAGGAGTATTGGCAATTTCTTTCTCTTGTTTTTGTCTCTCATGTGATAATTTCAAATTTCAGAAAACCTCTTAACTTTGTTAAGGGGTTTGTATCACGTGATAATTCAGAATTTTCAGAATACATATTAACAGGTTTTATATCATGTGTCACTTCTGAATCCATTGTGAGAATTTCTTTCTGAGAAGTATCTGCAATAACCGATTGAGAAGCAACCACCACAGTTTCTGATACATAATCAGTATTGGAGATGCTATCCTGGTTAGCTAATTCACACTAAAATTTCTTCTTCCTATTATATTGTCTAATCTTATTACTAACCTTTTTCTTATGCATCTTATTCAAGAAGGCATCTATTTCCTTATCTTCAGGTAATAAAGTATCCACTAATAGTTTCTCGTGATGTGTTACTATAGATACCTGATCTGCAACCAAATTGAAGTTAGATGAACTGATGTTAGAAAAATTATGTGAAGCATTTCTCGACTTATTTAGAATCTGCTTCTGTTCTACTTTCGTGATTCTATCTCTAAACTCAGCATTCTCAGACTCGAGTTTAGTAATAACTGTCTTATTTTGCTCTAGTTTCTCAATTCTGGCCTTGAGTTTGGTATTCTCAACATCGTATCTTTTACTCTCTTCTACAGCCTGTCTTAGAAGCTCAGCAATCCTGAACTTAAGCTCAGCTTTCTCAACCTTAAAATTAGTTTTCTCAATCTCAAAATCAGTAAACTTTCTTCTAAATGAGACATTCTCAGCCTCAAGCTCATTATTGCGTTGCTTCAATAATTCTTGCTCGGTTAACATGATCTATAACTAATACACTATATATGAAAATTCAAAATAAATAAATCATGTGATTTTCCTTACCTGAGGTAAATGAAATTTTGCCAAAAAAATTTTTTATTATTATAATGCGAAAATAAATACATAGATTAGGACGTAACTAGCAATATATATTATCAGAAAGGCACATTATTACTATAAATATCTTTATCCTCTGATTCAGTTTTAAAGTCAGAGCTTGAAGATTCTGAATTAGAGCAGTACTCTTTATCAAAATTTTTGATATGAATATTTCGATTTAGCTGGTGTATGGCTTTTTTGCTAATATTTTCACACCCATTCAAATCTAGAAATTTTAAATTGAGACATGAGCGAGCAATTTCTCTGATAGTTATACTGGTAATATTATAGTATCTGAGTTCAAGATGCTGGAGTCTTGGGAAGGAATGTATAATATTACAAATCGATGATTCACTGACAAAAGAACAGCAACTTAGATCAAGATATTCCAATTTATGACAAGAATGAGCAGTAATCTCATCATCAATATCATTATCACTGATTTCTATATGTCTCAAATTCAGAGATTATTTGATAATAGGTATAATTAATACATCATTCTGTAAAGCCATAACCTCACTAAAGTCAAGATACTCTATATTAAAACATCTTCATATTAAAGTACTAGCATCTTTGATATCTTTATGACTAAATGTAATATCAAGTTTTTGTAAATTTAGGTATGAGTTTAAGATGCAACTTATAGATTTATCAGTGATCTGACGTACTTTAGCAAAATAAAACTCTTGCAAATCATGATAATTTCCTGTGATTTCAAACAAAGATTTATCGCTAATATTTCTGCAGTAAGAAATATTTAGATATTCTAATTTACAACATGATTGCGCAATTGCATATAAATTTTTATCAGTTATTTGAGTATCCCACAAATTAATATATCTCAAATTAGGATATGATTCCGCTATTACAAATAGTAATTTATCGCTAAAACCTATACTATCTTTGAAATCTAAATGAATTATATTCAGAAATGTTTTC